GTGATAGTACTATCATCTGCGAATAGTGTCATGGGATAACTAATAGATCTGGGAAAGTCGTTTATATACAACGTAAAGAGAGAAGGTCCTAGTACACTTCCCTGCGGTACGCCATACTTGACAGTGCGTTCGTCAGATACAAATATTTCTTCCCTTTTGGTTTTACTATTTATTCGATTGATTTCCGTAACCTGAATTCTATCACATAAATAAGATTGGAACAGATGTAAAATGTTTCCTCGAATACCGTAAGTTTCCAGCTTTTTTAACAGTGTATCATGATGCACGTAATCAAACGCCTGCGTCATGTCACAAAAAATAGCACAAACTGGATTATTTCTATCTATATTTGTCATAACTATGTATAAGAAGTCATAGATAGCCATATTAATGGTTTTGTGTTTTCGAAATCCCTTTTGTTCATTGCAGAGTATGTCATACTTTTCTAAATATTTATTTAGTTCTGTGTATATATGGAAGGTTCCACATTTTGCACAACTCGGGAATAAAACTGGAGTTTCCAAGAATATAACATGAAAACTTAAACTGGTTCAACAAGGAAACGGATAAAGATACTTTCGTGTGAAACTGAACAAGTACCTAATTGAAGGGAAAACAAAACTGTTCAGATAGAAGCCAAACTGTTCTTGGGACCCAGTTTTAAAAACCCAGTAGTACTTTGCCTCAGGAATTGGATCCGAGATACCTTGCCCGGCAGTCGCTTTTGCGACCGCTCGGCCAACAAGGCAGTCTACAATTCAGTACATACTATTTGCATGTCAATGACAAGTTTAAATATTAATTAATTAAAAGTGTGGGAGAGCCATGCTTTGGCACGAATGGGTCGGTTCGACCGGAGTGATACCACGGCCTCACAGAAAACCGACGTAAAACAACGCTTGCGTTGTGTTTCGTCATGTGAGTGAGGTTACCGGAGGCCCAATTACCCCCCCTTCCCCAATCTCCCCAATTCCTGAATCCCCAACGATCCTCAAACTCCTAATCCCCAAAAGGCCGGTAACGCACTTGTAACGCCTCTGGTGTTCCAGGTGTCCATGGGCGACGCCGATTGATTACCATCAGGTGATCCGTCTGCTCGTTTACCGGCTTACGCCATAAAAAAACCTAATCACCCGACTGCCAAAAGAAAGGTTATTTTTATTTTCAATCAAAAGTCCATTCTTGTATTGTAACTTTCGTGAGACATACTAAAAAAAATTATTGTGTTTTCGGCTTACTCAGGTAATAATTTGACGAGGAACTCGACTAGTTTCAAGCCATGCTAGAGGCTCATATTCATGAGCAGCATTACAGTAGCAGCGCGACAATCGCCGCATGGCTTGAAACTAGTTGAGTTCCTCGTCAAATTATTACGTGAGTAAGCCGAAAACATAATAATTTATCAAAAGTCCATTGGCAAGAAATATAAACAGATTTGCGTAGGGCGGACAAAACAGAAGGTGTAGAATTCAATATCAGAGGCCATTGATTTATTCACCCTCCCTCAGGTGGCCGGTTAATGGGATTAGCACGGATTCCCCCGATATTACTACAGGAAAGACGGAGATTAAAAATAAAAATACTTCAATGGCGGAGACGACAATTTTACATGGATTACTTGTAGTTAACATTTTTCTTGTTTTTAGCAATATTAGAGACACTATTTTTGACTAAATCTCTAAAGATGTTTAATTCAACGCTTGGAAATAGTAATCAAGCCAGGAATATACATGATAATTACATACATAACATCACGCCTTTTATCCCCGAAGGGGTAGGCAGGGGTGTACATTACGGCACTTGATGCCACTGTACAATG